TAACCACTACGCTACCAGAGCTCCTTACAGTAGCACTAGGTAACTGAGAAATGGGAAGGGATTTATATAGCATCTTTACTAAAGAGATATTAATGATAAATAAGCACACGAAAATACGCTCAGCACATTACTCACCTGGGAAATGCAAATTAAAATACAGATGAGATCCTATTATATATAAATTATGTTAGATTCTTAGGGTCATACATTTTCTTATTTAGTCCTTAGGACTCTTGGTGTGACACTATGAGATCAGCATTGAACTACAAAGCACAAGGTCAGCAGTTCAAATCCACCAGCTGCTCCTTGGAAACCTTATACAAGGTTGCTGAGTCAGAAATGACTTGATGGCACTTAACAACAAGTCTTAGGAAACATTTTCAGATCTTCAATCTTTTTAATTTTTTTAACCACCTGAAATAACTTATCTTATTGTCCAATGATCTTTTAATTTTTAAGTACAAACACAGCGACAGTTCCCTATAATCATGGATACGTGACAACTTGGACTACTGGTGTGGTGCTGTAGGATCAGCAGTGGACTGCAAACCACAAGGTCATATGTTCAAACCCACTAGTTGCTCCTTGGAAATCCTATCTAGGGTGGCTTTGAGTTGAAACGAATCGAAGGCACTTAACAACATGTGATGACTTACTTTGCAGCACTCTTAGCGTTTTGCTCATTCCTGTTATTATTTGGCTTAAACTCAGTTCTGTGATACGAACGGGCTCTAGACACTGAATCAGTAGAGACTCACTCCTATAAAGAAATAACAGAGGTTATTATCTGTGTAGGCCTCAGGCGCCTGGCCCCTCCCTGTAGAGAACATATCTCATTACAAAGATACCATCAGTAGATATGCCCTTCCCAGCCCTCTTTCAACAGCCCTCTATCCACACGTTAGACTTTAGAATCCATTGTCTCCAAAATGAAAACTTACCTTTCCAAAGAAGATCTTGCATTCTAAGACATATTAAAAAAAAAAAAAGAAAGAGAGAGAAAGACAAGGTTACTACTAGGTAAAACTGAATAGGAAAAGTCCTCAATATGCTGTAAATCAATGAAAGAACATTATGTGAAAATGGATGCAGAAGTTGGGATTATGCTGGCCAGAAAAAAAGGAATGCCTGGGGCAGCTGAAAGAGATTCTTTCTCTAGAGCTTTGAGAAAGCATGGTCCAAGAACTCTAAGTTCTCTCTTTTAATCTCCAGAAGAACTGTAAACTTATTTTGTTATCACTTTTTGGAGGAGCCATAGTAAAGCAGTGGTTAACTGCTCAGTTGTTAGCCAAAAGGTCAGCAGTTTGAACCTACCAGCTGCTCCATGGGAAAAAGATGTGACATTCTACTTCTGTAAGATTAAAACCTTGGGAACCCTATTCTGTCCTATAAAGTTGCTTGCTATGGGTTGAAATCTATTCAAAGGCAACAAGCAGATCATTTTGTGGCAATATTCATAAGGTTTTCAGTGGCTAACCTTCCATAAATTGTTCGTCTCTCTTTCTTTCTAGTCTGTTTTAGTCTGGAAGCTCCACTGAAATTTCTGCTGATATTTAAAATTCTTTGGCATAGTTTCCAGTATCACAGCAACACACAAGCCACCAGAGTATGACAAACTGACAGATGAAGAGTGGTATCAAAGCTCATGCATCAATATTCATGGAAGCAGTAGTCAAAGACCTTTTAAGTGCTAAAAGAACAAAAACATCACTTTGAGGATTAAGGTGCACTTCACCCAAGCTATGGTATTCAATGACCTCATAAAGCATGTGAAAGTGGATAATGAGTAAGGATGTCAGAAGAAGAACTAATGCAATTGAATGATGGCGTTGTGGAGCTCTGGTAGTGTAGTGGTTACGAATCGGGCTATGTACCGCAAGGTCAGCAGTTCGAAACTACCAGCTGTCCTGCAGGAGAAAGATGAGGTAAAGATTTCTGCTCCCATAAAGATTTACAGCCTCGGAAACCCTGTACAGGGTCGCTATGAGTTGGAACCGACTCCACGGCACATAACCACCACCACCACCCAAAGAATTAACTGTTTTGGAAGATTGTTCCTCGGAAACTAATATGATGAGACTTCCTCTCTCCTACATTAGACATGTTATCAAGAGGGACTAGTCCCTGGAGGAGGACATCATGCTTGGGACAGTGGATGATCAGCAATGAGATGAGATAACACAGTGGCAGCAGCAATGGGATCAAACGTAACAACTGTGAGGATGGTGTGGTGCTGGACAGTTTCATTCTGTTATACACAGGGTTGTATAATGACTTGATAGCATGTAACAACATGCTCATGTGGTACAATGAATTACTTATATGACCCTTCTAACTTTAATATTTGTGACTTCCACACGTTGACTGGGTGGGGCTATTCAAATAAGATATAATCCTGATGAGGGAATTGATCAATTTTGCCATCCCACAAGGCTTAAAATTAGCCATCCCAAAGAAAAATGGCAAGGAGGGACTTCATTACTGCCAAAAAAGAAGAATTAGTAATGGAGCATCCTCTGGACCCAGGATTCCTGAGCTGAGACCGTCCTAAATGCAGAGACAGAGAGGGAGAGCTATAACCCTGGAGACAGTGAGAAGCAGCAGCAGAGGCAACAGAACCAGGACACCGGCAGGATACGGAGCAGTGGACTTTCTAGCTCATGCACTGAGAAACCTGAGTGTCTTTAGGCAGGAGGCTTGCTGGTGGAGCTGGGTGCCTCTGGGAGACTGGTGGACCTAGGTTTGCTCCAAGGACTTGTTGGTAGAACCAAAGAGTTTTGTAACTCTTGCACAAGAATGATAGAGGCCACGCCAGTCCAAGTAACTTGAGAGACTAAGGGCCAAGGGTCAGAAAAAAGCCTGCCTGTGGGCATGGCTGAGAAGAGGCTTTCTCAATCAAAGAACTATAACCAGAGTGTTTCAAAACCTGAATTGCAACCTGTTACGGTCTTACCTGGAGCAGTGCTAATGTCGGCTGTTCACATTTCTTCTCGAGTTCTGCAGTGAGTGCTTGTAGGCTGCAGATCTGTTCAAAAAGCCAGCCTTCACTCTCCTTCAGTTTACGCATGTTTTGTCTAGCCAAATTATTCAGTCTCTGTGGGGAAAAAAAATCTCCTGATTACTATTTAACAACTGCTAATTTCTCTTATTCTCTAATCTAACCATCTCTTTTAAAGCCAAGTATTTGTTACCCCAAAAACAGATTTACTTAGGAATAATGGGTACTCCAGAACACTTAACTGTGCTCATGAAGAACCTGTACATAGACCAAGACAGTCATTTGAACAGAACTAAATAATATTGAAAGGTTTAAAATCAGGAAAAGTGTACACTATGGTTATATTCTTTCACCATACTGGTATGGCACTATAGGATAACTACTGGACTGCTAACCCAATGTTGGTGGTTAAAACCCATCAGCTGTCCCTTGGAAACCATATACACGGTCCCTATGAGTCGGAACCAACTTGAGGGTACTTAACAACAACACTCAATCTGTATGCTAAACAAATAATCTGAGAAGCTGGACTTTATGTTTTACGTTGCCTCAAGATTTGAGGAAGACTCATTAACAACCTGTGATACGCAGATGTTACAACCTTGCTTGCTGAAAGTAAAGACGACTTAAAATAATCTTCACCACTGGACCAATAAATAATATCATGATAAATGGATAAAAGATAGAAATTGTCATCAAAGACTTCATTTTGCTTTGGTCTACCATAAACACTCATGGAAAGAGCAGTCAAGAAATCAGACGATGTTATTGCATTAGGCTAGTCTCTGCACAAGACTTTAAAGTGTTCAAGAGCCAAGATGTCAGTTTGAGGGCTAAGGTCCACCTGACCCAAACTATGTTATTTTCAAAAGCCTTATATGCATGTGAAAGTTGGGACAATGAATAAGGAGGACTGTGGGATGCATTTGAGTTATTGTGTTGGAGAAGAATATTAAAAGTACCATGGGCTGTGAGGCGAACAAACAAATCTCTAGGAAGAAGTACAGTAAGAACGCTTCTTAGAAGCCAGGATGGTAAGAGTTTGTCTCTCATTCTTCAGACATGTTACCAAGAGAGACCAGTCCTTGGAAAAGGACATCATATTTGGTAAAACTTAGGGTGAGCATAAACAGAGGAAGATACCCCCTGAGATAGACTGGCTCAGTGGCAGTTGCAATAGGCTCATACGTAACAACAAATGTGAGGATGTCATAGGACCAAGAAATACTTCATTCTGTTGTGCATAGGGTCACTATGAGAACCAACTCAGTGGTGCCTAACAACAACAACAACACAATATTTCTATGTCAAGCATAACACATCTGAATAGAAATTTGATTTTTTAACACTTAATATATCTTATGTTGATATGAACATAAAACAAGCTGATAAAAATAATACATATCTCAAGCAAATCACACTATTTTTTGTTGTGGCATTTTACTCAGAAATTCTATTTCTTTCATTAAGTTAAGATTAATTAAAGTTAAAATTAATTATAATTATAAATTCAACTCAATCAGTCAATGATTAATAACTAAATAACTCAATGGCAACTAGCAACAACAAATAATTAAATGATAGGCACGTCACAGACAGCAATTTTCTTTTCACCTTCCAAAGATACTCTACCTAGGCACATGAAACATTCATACACCTTCTTTTTCTTCTTACAAAATTATAAGTGATGCCACATTGTATCTGAAAATTTAGTTATTAGTAAATGATATTTTGGGGAAAATATTTCTTATCCATACACATAGAGCCATGTTGTCCTTTCTAAGTATTAATCTTATTACAAATATCCCTTTGTAAGTATTAATCTTATTATAAGTAACACATGTCATTAGTTCCATATTAATGGTTACAGGTTATATCTAATCTATCAATAAAGTAATATCTCATACATATGGGGCACTTAATATGTATAAAATACTACTTAATACAACTCATACAATATGGTGAACTAGGTGCCGCTATTATCCCTATTTTACAATTAAGGAAAGTGAGTCAGAAGTCTTTTTTTCTAAGACAACAAGGGCCAAGGCAACTTGTCCAAGTTCACAAGCTTCAGAACACAGATGGGCATTCCATCAATCTTGTTTCAAAGACTATCTTTGAACCATGAAACTTAGTTTTACAATGTTACATTATCTCTACATGGAAACTTAGTTTTATAGTGTTCATTATCTATGTGTTTTTTATCTTGCAAGTATATTTGCAAGATAAATGCTCAGAAATAGAACTGTTGTGCAGTTATAAACATTATTTTAATACATCTGTGATTGTTATAGTATGTCTTATTCTGAAACTGGCATAATGTTTGGCTCAACTTTTTCTCACTTGTCAGATATTGTGTGGAAGTGGTTTCTAAAATCTTACCTGGACTGCTTCTATGGACTTTTCCTCTAGTTCTGTGGCAATCCTGCTAAGTTGATTCACATTGGCGTCTTTCATCTGAAAGTTGAGTAAGCACCCTTGCCGTCTCAGGAGATTTTCTTCATTCAACAACCGGAACCTCATCCTATATTCTGACTCAATCATCGCTTTAAAATTCTGTTCCTCTTCCTTCATCATAGATATAGATATGATAGACTTGAGGTTAAACATGACTGACTGACCACAAATATTTATCTTCTTTCCATCTCTAACTCCAATGAGGAGACAAGAAATATAAAGTAAGAAAATATAAGGCATAAACCCACAGGACAGAGAGAATTTTGGAGTTAAGATCAGCCAAAGCATCAAGATAATCTTATAATAAGAAAAGTAGATGGATAGTGGGACACTCAATTCGAAAAGCAATTTTCAAATTTCCCTTTACAGAGCTTTCACAATTTTTATGTCACCCTAACATATATGCGTTGCTAATTTTTCTAAGTCATTGTTACAAATTATGTTGTCAGTCCTGTGATCTTTGAAAATCAAGGCTGCAAATGCCATCACACTAACAATTTAATATTTTTAATTTGTATTTCTCTTGCCACAAGCAAAAGTCCTGCTGTGGAGTCCTGGTATGGCGCTGTAGGATAAGCACTGGAACACCAACCACATTCAAAACCACCAGCTGCTACTTGGAAACCCTATACAGGGTTGCTATGAATTGGAACCAACTCCTTGGCACTTTAATAACAACAAACTTATCAAGAGTTAAAAACTCAAGATCTTTTGTATTTAAAAACCAGATTTGCAGTTTCCTTTATGTGAACTCTCATTTCTTTGATCATTTTTCTATTGAGTTTCTGTCCTTTTCTAATGGGCTTATAAGCTCTTAATACCCTAAAAAATTAGTACCTTTCTGTTCTATAGGTTTCAAATATTTCAAAAAGCTTGCCATTTCGTCTTTGATTTTGCTTACATTATTTGCTATCTGACATGACTGATAATTTCCGACCCAAGTTTCAAGTTAAGCACTGACCTGAACCATCACCATTCTTTCTTGTTCCTCAGCGAACATGCTTCGAGCAGTTTCAAGTTTCTTCCGAAGCATGTTCAATATCTCTTCTAATAAATTCTGCAAAGAAATATAGCACAGAATCCCAAATAAATGCATTACTGTTTTAAAGCCAGATTCTTGACCTTAGACAACCATGTCTAAGGCCCCAAGAACCCCCAACAAACCAGTTGTGGACTAGTTGCCTAACAATTTATTCTAATTCATGGTGACCCCATATATGTGGAGCAAAAGTACCCTTTACAGGGTTTTCATTGCTAGGATTTTTCAGAAGCATACAGCCAGGTCTGTCTTCCAACACGTCTCTGAGTTGGTTTTCAATGCTTCTGGATGGGTTAAAACCAGCAGCCTTTCAACTGTTAGCGCAGCAATCGCCATTTGAGACACTCAGGCACTTCCCCGGAAGGCCGCTGGTAGCGTGATTACGAGTTGGAAACTACCAGCCGCTCCACAGGAAAAAGATGAGGCTTTCTGCTCCCGTAAAGATTTACATCTTCGGAAACCTTCTACAGGGTCTCGATGAGTCGGAACCGACTCCACGGCATAAAACCACCACCACCACAAGTTTTTTATGCCTTAAATCGGAAGGGTTAAAAATAGTGTCTCGCATACTTGGGTAAACTAACCAAAGAGAATGATCCAAGGGGAACAAAAGATAAGTATCTTAATAATCAATAAATTAGAGGTGGCCAGAGTGCCAGAGTGTTCTAGAATCTGCATGAAGCTTACCCTGTAATTCTCAGCGGTCTCTTCCAGTCCATACACCATATGGTGCTTGTGCTCCTCGATCGGGGTGCACTTGACACACAGAGCGATTTGATCATCATCACAGAATAGTCGTGGTTCCAGGTGTTTCTCACAGTAGTAGTCTGGGATTTTTTGCCGCAAATCTGGAGTGAACCTTTGGAACATTCTGGCAGATATCGCTTGGTTTGGTTCTGATGTGGAGTACTCCTCGGCACCCTGAACAGAAAAAGATCGAAGGGCTTTCTCGATGTTCTAGATCCGACTCTCTTGAGGGACTCACGTGGCAACTGCTCGGTCTACAGTCAAAAACCAAAGAAAAAGTTCTGAGCTCCTCAAATCAGACGAAATATTTGGCAGACATGCATGCATAAGAGATGAAAAGAGTTATGGTCAAGTTTTCAGACAATTTTACATCATAAATTGAAAATGAATTACAAGCGACCGCACAGCACAGCACTTACCAGCAAGTTAAAGAAAATGACGCGGAAGGAAGGCACTGAGCTAAAAGTTAGAGAAACTTCCGGGTCAAAGAGGCGTAACTTTTAAGGCGGCACTTATCTTCCGGGTACTTGCATTAAGAAGAAAGAGAAGGACTTTTTGGTGATTCCTTAAAGGAGCAGTGCATTGGGCTCCAAAATTAAGTAGGTACTGGCTTCCTCCCTTGAGAGTCTCCTGAAATTTTGCTCCATCTTCCTGGCTTTTCTCATTAAAACAGAAGAACAACAAATGAAAACACTTCGGAATACTAGAAAGGAAAACTGGGCATTGTATTGTCCAATTAGTTGGTTGTTTTATTTGGGGAAACTATGAGATCTGTAAAACTCCGCCATTTCCATTTCTGTGTCCAATAGATTATTTTATTATCTTTGAGCAACAAATCTACCTTTTCTAAAACAAATATTAGTTTAATTGCTGTATATTCGTAAAATACATTATGAATTTGAATTTTGGACACTCTTCCCCAACGGAGAAATGCCTTATGTAACAGTTTTCTTGTCCAATCTTGTTCAGTGACACTTTAACGTTGAGTAGTTATTTCTCAAAACCCTCTATTGTTTTAACATTTGCTCCACTGACACTCGCTCCTTAACCAGCACTTTTGACAATGTCGCCTGAAATTAACAGGCCTGATGTGTTTCAGAACCTCAAAATGTTGTTTTCTGAATTTACGGATTCTTCCACATCCCTCATCTCCTCATTCTCACCTGAATTGTTTGTCATCACTAGATTTTCTTACTTTCCGTTTTCCTTTCCTTTTTAATTGTGCACACATTTTCATAATTTTAAAGTTGATTAATCTTGTATATAGGTTGTTTTTGTATTTTGATGATATACATCTTAATAAAGCAACAATTTGTAAAGTATTTGTTCCAAGACTTGACTTTCCTTTTTCAGTGTGTTAATATTTAATGATGGATTAAACTATTAGAGTTTAGTTATTAAAGTTAGTGGCACCAAAGGTCAGCAGTTTGGAACTACCAGCCGCTCTTTGGAAAAAAGATGAGGCATTCTGCTTCCATAAACATTTATAGCCTCCGAAACCCTATACTAGACCCCTATGAGTAGGAACCACCAACCAGTCATTCATTATAGTTTTCACTATCTACTTGCATACTCCCAGTTTAAAGAAAAAAGAAAGTTTGTTTTCCTTAAGAATAGTCTATGTCTTGATGAAGTATTAAAATATTAAACCTCAATATTTATTAGATATTTATTCTACACAGGATTTATTTAATATACATATTTATTTACTAATATTAATATTCTAGAAAATATAAATTAATTTGAATATGGAAATAGAAGGGGCTTCAAATTTTCTTTGAAAACATAGTATTGAAAGTAATGGAATCTTCCACAACTTTCTGAAACCCCCTTATGCAATAGCTATCTCAAACAACAGTAAATCTGTTACTGAGTTACAAGCTGCCGTAGCCACTTTATTTCATACATTGTTGAAAAAACAAGTCTGACAAACAGTGGTTTTCAGACTTGGCAATTTGAAAGGTATTTTCTCAAAAATTATCAAAGTGACTCTGTCACTTCAAGGAAAACATCTGAGAGTATTAGTTGCTAATGATAGAACTTGAGCTTTTAAACAAAAACTAAAATTTTGAAAAACTTGTGTTCACTACTGTTTAATATTGACAGCTTTCCAATACTTGTTCTTTTTCTGTGAGACTGGTGATGATATTAACAAATATAATTTGTAAAAAAAAAACAAAACTGTATAATGAAATGTGCCAACATTTATAAGATCTATAAACTCAATGAACCATTTTTTCCCAAATAACCAGCACATGATATGAAGAAGTTGGATTCAAAGTATAGGATAGACCAACATATTTTAATGTAATAAAATATAGAATGTTCATTCATAATTTCTGGGGAAAAAATCAGTTATCTGAAAAAAAATTATTAGAAGCTTTTCCAACTACTGGTAGTGTTAGATATTCTTCATATTCATGATGTATTGAATATGCAACATATGTATGACATATGTTGTGAAAAACATTTATAAAGGGGGCTTTGAAAACCTCGTGGGAAAACAGAATTAAAGGATAATGGAATTTTCTCCAAGAACTTTTTGAAGCTCCCTCACACTGCAATAAACCAGATGCCCAAACAGGTGCTAAAAACTACCTGTCTTCTGATAAACCATTAACTAAAGAGATTTGAAAGACTGTAGTAAATCTGTGTCATTTTTCTCAATGATTTTTTTCAGCTATGAAACACAAGCCAAAGCTTACATGAAATCTTCATTACTTTGAGTGTAAAGAAGTCCTGAGACAAAAAAGTTGAGAATCACTAAAAGTAGATTGTTATCTCAAAATTTAGATGAATTTACAATTTTATACTTAAAAAAATGTTTAAGAAAACTATTAAACTTTTGAACTTTGCCCTGTTGGTTGATAAGAGATAAGGGGGTTTCAAAAAGTTCACAGAAAAATTCTATTAATTTTTAAATTAAATTATTCCACAAATCTCTGTATATTATGTATATCTAAGCTTTTTGCAGATACTAGGAGCCATATGTATGTTTGACCAATTAAGCCATCAAGTATTTTGCCATTTTTCTTCTCAATTTCAAAAAACATTTATTCACATTTTAAATGTTAACCCCTTGTCATATAAATGGCAAGCGTTTTCTCTCTATTTGTCTCTTTGTAGTAAGACTTTTGAATTTGCTCCAGTTCTTTTTACTACTTGGGTATTCCAGCTCCTTTGTGGCTTCCCTTGTCTTGCATCCCTGAACAAATTCTTAACTACCCCACTGAAAAACAAATCCACTAACAAAAGGAATAAACTCAGTGGCCTGGTTTGAGCTCTCAGCAACAACTAAGATAGTGACCATTCCTTTCCTCCTATATTGTTTTCTTCTCTTGATTATCAAGATCCTATTGCTCCTCGGAAACCCTTTACAGGGTTGCTATGGGTCGGAACCGACTCAAAAGCACTTAACAACAACAACAAATGGCTGATTTGGAAGAGTCCTGGTGTGGTGCTGTGGATTAATATGCTGAACTGCAAAGTCATTTTGAACCACAAGGTTGGTGGTTCAAGCTCACCAGCCACTCCTCGGAAACACTATACGGCACTTAACACCAGTGGCTGATTTGGAAGGAGCTCTGGTAGCGAAGTGGTTATGAGTTGTGCTGCTAACCTCAAGTTCAGCAGTTCAAAACTATCAGCCGTACTGTGGGAGAAAGATAAGGCTTTCTGCTCCCATAAAGATGTACAACCTTGGAAACACCCTCTACAGGGTCATTATGAGTTGGAAAGAACTCCACGGCACATAACCACCACCACCACCATGTCTGATTTGGAGTCCTGTGGTATAGTGTTACAGGATAAGCATTGGACTGCCAGGTCAGTTTGAACTGCAAGGTTGGCTGTTCAATCCACCAGCTGCTCCTCAGAAACTATACAGGGTCACTAGGAGCTGACTAAAAGACACTGATCAACAACATAGGTGGTATTACTACTACTTTTCTGGTCTGTTCCTCAATATTCTTTTTCTATTCCACATCCTCTTGAATCTGTAAATTTTCAGTGTTAATTCTGGCCTCTGATTCTGATTTTACTCCCTCAGTAGGTAACCTGATTCATTTCTAAAGGTTAAGGCAAGTGCCATTCTCTACTTTAAAACTTCAACAGGATGCAGAGATCTCAACTCATTTGCAATGAAATGCCTAAGAAGCACCAAAAATTATCTTATCTAAAACACTACCCAGGATTTCAACTGGATACCTTTCTTACTCTAAACATTCATACAAATTTATTCATTTAGAAGCATAGTTTAAGCCACTATAATTTTATCATGCTATTGTTTTCCTAGTTTATGTTCCTATAACTTCCCTCCTCTTACTCCTCAACACTGAAATAATTATTTTAAAATCAAAATCAAGTTGCTAGTAATGCTCTGTTGCACTTAGAATAAAATCCAAATGGATAACCAGGTTCTCTGAGATCTGTACCTCTCCCTACCACTAATTTCACATGTTCTTTTATTTATAACTGACTTTATCCTTCGATGAACACATTTACTTGTACCCTGCATATTCCATCTGTGTCTACATCTGACACACGAGGTGTTAAATAAATATTTGTTAAAAAAAAAAAAATGTTTTACTGCGAGTCAACAGAAAAGTTTAAAAGACATCAGAAGAATAGAGAGACTACAGATTAAATATATTCACAGAAATCAAGGAAAAGGATCACTGGAGAATAATTTGTTTCTTCTTCATGTTGTTTATGTACTAAATTCATATTTAACCTCATCTCGTTTTTCCTGTTTTTGCTTTGCTTTGTCTTCTAGCTTAGGCATTTAAAGAAAACACATGATTAAAGAAATGAATTTTCAGAAAACAGCTCACCTACTTTCTTTGTAATCCTTTAGCGAAAACAGCTGGACTGAAGGGCTGTTACTTCCTCAGGCCCTCTTCCTCACCATCAGACAAGCATCTGTGAGGAGTTTTAAATCAGATTCCTATGAAAAAATCTCAGTGGTTATCACACTTCAGTGAGAATAAGAATCACCCAAATTGATTGAAAAACACACTTCTGGGTTTTACCTCTAAATACTCAGATTCAGTGGATTTGGGGCGGGGTTTAATCATTTACATTTCTAATGAACTCTCTGCAACTGTTCAATAGCTTGATCTTGT